CAGGAGTAAGGCCTAAACTCACAGAGCTCTTCATGGTCTGCTTTTTCTGTGTGTGGCAGAGTTATCTCACATCCCGAAGAAGCATATTTACAAGGGAAAAGTACTGAATTAGCCACTTTCTCCATCGCCAAGTTGCGAATGGATCCCAGCGGGCCGCGGCAGGGTGGACAACATGAGAGCTTTGGGCGACAGTTGCTACAAACAAGATGGCCACTCTGACACTGAAGGATGGGTGGTAACACATAGTCAAAGCAGACCGGACACTCAAAAAGACTGGCCAAGTCATTGTTGGACGCGGTTGTGCCAGTCAGGGCAGGCACCCTCTGGGACGGTGTGCACTTGGACGTCCCAGTAGGTAATGCTGTCGCAGTCTGACGGCTCATTTCTGCAATAAAAACAAATAAAAATAAAAGGAGGCAGGAGAAAAAGAACTACAACTATCACTTGTTTTACTAATAATGTTTACATTCCAGAAACACTTGTTTCATGGAAAATTTACTGTGAGCAAAACAACAAAATAAACAGGGTTAAAAAAATAAATTACACAAAATACGCATTTTGATTATTAGGCGTTATATACTGGATGACGTCTCCAAAATATTTCAGAACACATTACACATTAGAATTCCCTTTCTTAAAAAGAGTAAAAAATCATCTTTGGGTGGACTAGGAATAAATAAATGCTGAAACAGAAACTGGACCATAAGCAACTAAGAAATTCTGTATAAGAAGCTTGAGTTCAATCTGACCAGTTTTCATTGCACTTTCTCTCCCTCTGAGTTCCACTCCCCTGCTCAGTCTATTTCATTCCCATTCGGAGTCAGCAGACGCTAGTTAGAGGGAGCTATAAGTGACCCAAAGGATCACCAAGGTATTGACCTAATGGCCAGTTATCTGCTCTAGCGGTATTTTGAGGGAATGGAGGGGTCACAAGGGCCTGCTGCCATCCCATCATCCGTCTTCATCGATTACGTTTTTCCCCAGAATGTTAACGTCAGCTAGTTATTCATCTTGTTTCCCATGGACCAGCGTCCCCCTCAATAGTCTGGTATTTGGAGAAAATAAATCAATCCTATTTCCATTCCACAATATAAATCAGATAGAATCTGCAAAGGGAAAGGAGAGTCAGGAAAAGAAGGTAAATGAAGAATGAAGATAAAAGCACCAGAAAGAGACACAACACAGGATGGGGAATTCAGCCAACAGGTACAGGATTCAGCCCTTGTACCCTAGGGCTCGCCACTGCTGCTGAAACGTTCATCAGCACAGTGATCAACATTTCAGAGATAAATGCCATCTGGAAGAAATGATCAACAATGTACCTAGTCAGGCGGAATGAAAGATAAAACACTTTTTCCCAAGAATCTACCTTTGTCTTAAGGGTGAGAAAAGATCTACTGATGGTCTAAGAGTGTATTCCCAATAACTATGTAAGCCATATTTTAACAAAAGTAAAATTCAGTACCTCAAACTGAATGTTTTCTCAACTATAATCATTATCCTATTGCAAAGAATATAATGTTGAAAACACAATGCTGGTTACCCATGTGACCATGTAAATGCAATTTGGGTTACATTACTCAAGAACAGACACCTTAAGTGGGGGGGGTGAGGGTGCCAGACGAAAGATGAGTTCCACTGTCACTAAAGGCAGATTCTGAAGTTCAAGGGGAGACAAAAGTACCGCAGAATTCCCTCATCATGTGGCCCGTCAGGCAGATTTAGGGCAGCATGAATCAGCTGTCATCTGATGCCCGGTATAGCCAGGTGTTCCAGCCCAACCAAGGCTCAGCAGGAACTCGCCTGCTCACCAGTCTCCCTGAGGAGACTTGGTGCACATGCTGGGCCGCGCGTTCTGGGTCACCTGTAAAACTGCGGGGTTAGCACTGCCAAAATGCCCTGTATGTGCTACACGCCTTCCTGGCCCATTTTACGCTGCTCACCTAAGTGAACAACAGTAATACTGGAAAGTGGTTCCTGGGGCACAGAACAGTCTAAGCCACCAAAGCCTTCAAGCCACGAAACCAAAACGGTGAATCAAACATACTGAGTTTCAGGAAACTCAGTTTGTATTCATCATAACTACCAAGCAAGAAAAACACTCCTGTTTAATTTCTTGGCCTAGCAAAATAGTTATACATTTATCTATCATCAATAGTTCGGGTTCATGTTACAATATATCTTATTTTTCCGAACATTGTAGAAAGCACAATTCCTACTCAAACTAAAAACAAGTGAAATGCAGCCACAGAGTAGCAGCGGCTAGAAGCTCCCAAAGCTCCAAAGGTGGGACCCAGCTCCACCTCCAAAGAGAAAAAAATCTCCAGCGCACTGCAGCCCTGCAGCAGGAAGCCAGGACTCGGGACACCTGTGCGGCAGTGCTGGCGGAACATGAAGTTTGGTTTAAAGTGAGCAAAGTACAGCAGACCCAAAGAAACATCGCTGCGAGCTCCCTGGTACTGCTGCAGCCCGTCCCTGACCCAGTCAAACCCCACTGGCTTACACTGCCCCGGTTCCCAGTTTAAACAACCCGTCTCTTAAACGCCAATACCTTTTCTCTTCCTTGTCCGAGCGGCAGGTAAACACGTGAGTAAGACGCCCTTCCAGGAGTACAGACAAGGTAAGGCCGGCTTCCCGGTCATGAGAAGCCCGGCAGCCGCGGCCCTCCCCCCAGAAGCAAGTCTGCAGCAGAGGCCTCCCAACAGTTTCTGTTCCTGCACGCGGGGTCAAGTTGCTGAGAAGCGAAGGGAATCGCCCGGCTCCATACCCTCCATTCACTTCTCAGAAGCACGGGCTACGGAGGCAGAGAAATGAAGCCTCTCCAGTCCCAAGACGAGTGGACCACACCTCCCCAAGCTCAGATTCGCCAGCGTCTCCAAAAACGGGCGCCATCGCTGAGCTGGCCTACGCTGGGCCCTAAGCCTCTCTCGGTCTCCGCAGTTGGTCTTCCCCGGATTCATGAGCTAGGCTCTGGCCGGCTGTCGGGAGAAGGACGCACGGGCCGTAGATGCGCGGTGGTGGCACCCTGGAGACGGAGGCGCGCTCTCGGGCTGGCTCTGGAGTTACTGCGCGAAAGCCATTTGGAGCCAAGGGCTGGGGCCGGGCCGCAGCTGGGAAAGCCAGCTCCACCCGGAGTGCAAGTCGGGCCGCAGGATCCCAGCGCCCCAGCGGTGGGAGGAGGAGGGGTGGGGAAGGGGGCGCCCGCAAGCCCCGCCCCAGCCCCGCCCCACCCAGGGCGGCTCCAGAACACTGCGTAGGTCGTCGGTCGCACAACTTCGACCAGGTGGGGCAAAGCCCCTTAACCTCCAGCCCTTCCACCAGCTTACAATTAGGTCAAAGCCATGCCGTTTTTGTAGAGGCCAAAACACTCGGGTATCGGCAATTTCGTGTGGTTTCAAACCAAGAGCTACACAGAGTACATGGGAAATATGTGGCCAGCCTAGAGCCCTTATCTGCACTATACAGTCCTCTCCCGGTTAACCCTTTGAACTCCAAGCTTTTCTAGAGTAAAAGCATTCTCCTCCCTAGTTCTTCCAATAACTATTTACCGGGGTCAACGACCGTATTTCCTCAGTTCTAACTCACTTCTCCATTTCTACCCAACAGGACCGTATTTTAAACTCCCCCTCTCCCTTCAAAAAGACTGCAGTGAGAGCAGTAAACACACATAATCATATTAAACTCCAACTTCAACCTCCAAGCTGAGATGATATTCTCTTCCCACTCTGGGAAAGCCATCCTAAAAGGCCTCATTAAACTTAGTAGCTTGTTTTGTTTTTAAATAAGCATTACCCTTGCCCCATAAAGTCCCGGGCCTCCGACTTGCATTGCGTCAGCTAGTGCATTCAGAGGTGTAACCTGTCATTACATCATCCTTCGGCACGCCTTTAAAAGCAGCAAGAGCTGGGAGTGGGGATGAACCCCGGGCAGCAGGCTGTAGATTATCCACTTCCAGCATCAAATTTTAAATCTAATCACTTCCCACCCTATTAATAGTGTGTTCAGCCACTTCACCTTATTTTACTATTAGGCTACATAAAACATCATTAGGATTAGAAATATAATTGAAAAGTCTACTGATAAATATCAATCACTATTACCTACATTTTTATTTTCTAATACATATTCATTCTAGACAGGTCTCAGGTTTCTAGGGCAGGTAACTTCAAATATTTTAGGCAGAGAAAGTCTTTCCAAACAGAATTAAGACAGCACCCAAATGTATAAACAAGTCAAGATTACTGATTCCTGAAGCAAAGAAAAAAACCTCATGTCTTTCCCCAAACTTGCAAAGGACCTGTACAAAGACTTGCAGCACGGTCTGAAAACCATTAACCTATGGACAAACCTCTCAACAAATGAGTCAGGACAGTAAAGGTAGAAAGAAGTGTTCTGCAGTCACCTACACTTGGATTCAAACCTGTCTTCACTACCTGCTCAGCTGTAAAACTAGGACAATATTTCCAGTCTCACATGCTTCTATCTAGAGTAAGAGAGGTGGGTAACTTATGAGTATCATGGGTAACTTATGTGTATCACAGGTAACACATATTCCAAAATAGAGAGACCTGAGACCTCCAAAACGTACTTGCCTGAAGTCATCAACTGATTAGAGACCTAGAACTAGTGGGTTTCAGACATACACTTCAAAAGATGCCTTTAGATGTTAAAGTATCAAACGTTTCTGTCAACGATCAACTGTCATGTAACTAATTTTTAGTCCAATAAACCTTAATAGAATTTCTCAACTAGCTGAAAATTTCACAAAAACTCCATTACACTAAGAAAAGCCCATAAAATCCAAAGTAAGCAAACATCCAAAATTTTTCCAAGAGTACACTGGTTACCTATACTTTCTAAAGACCAGTTTAGTATCAAGTTTAAATAGATTTTAATCTAAATATAAACACTTTAGAGTCAGCCTTTAATGTTGTCTTAGTGATTTCCAAGCATTTAAGCATTGCTTTGACACATTAACACACAGAAGTAGATGGACTTAAACTTTTATTCTCAATTTCAGGTGGAAACCTGTTTCCTTTTATTAAATGGCTGACGAATTTCTCTGATTAGTCACAGCCCCATGCCTGGCTACTCTAATTAATACATAACAATGTTGTGCTTACCATTTTCTTCTAGTTTACAAATGTTACTATGGCAGGCAAATAAAGCCCCTCTAAAAGATGTTCACATTCTAATGCCTGACACTGAGCCTGTGAAAATGTTATGTTACAGCAGCAGCGGCGGGAAGCTAATAGTTACAAAATCAAAGTTTCAGATGGAGAAACAGACATGTAAAGCACGTTACAAACAGAACATACATGGGAAGGAAGTACAGAGATGGGGCGTGAGACACCAGGAAGCCTACGTACCAGAAAACAGCCAATGAGTCAGTTATCTGCATGGTAGGATACTGCTGAATTTTAGCTGTACTTCCTTCAAAGGGGACAATAAACTGCTTTATAAAAATTAGTCTGACTGCAAAACGTGAAAACAGTAAAAAAAAGTAAAATTTGCATTCTTAATTAAAAAAAGACAGGATGCAAAAGTTACCCCTCTTTTACTTCTCCAAAAATTACTCCTAGAAACGACATATTTATTGTAAAAAAAAAAGTATAGGTTCAGGTTATAAATTTCCTCTCTGTATTAGAAATCAATGAGGTAAATGAAACTACTTCATTCCAAACATTTAAGGGCTTTTCCTCCTTTCCTAAACTCCTTTTTGCAAAAAAGTACTTTCTACATTGACATTGTGATGGGTTATGCAGAAAATGTTAAATTATGTTAAAAATTGCTTTTATTTTAAGATTTACTCTTCAATAATGACAAAATTAAAATTTAGGCAAGTCTCATTAAAAATTCAACAGCTTTAAATACCAAGTTAAAAATAAAATCAAATTTTGTTATAAAACAATAATGCTAAGAAAAAAAATTAACCCATTTTTAGTTTCCAGGACTGTAGTAAATTAATAATAAAAAAATTTTTTAATTGTACATATTTTCCTAAAAGCTCCCTTTTCCTGAAGATAATTCTGAAATTTGTAGCTACAGAAGAAGAGTTTTGTGCCTAGTAAGACTGATGATCTCAAGTGGGAAGCAGGACCTACTAGAAGGCTGCTATAAAAACAGGAGTCTGGAAAAAGGTGAGGAAACAGTAAGTGGAGAGAGGAGAATGCAAACCCTAACTCAAATACGGAAAGCAAAGGACGCTTGTTTTTTTACTGTCTACATTGTTGTACTTTGAGGCTTCCACCTCAGGTTAAAAAAAAAATAGCAAATACTGTCCTTAATCAGAACCTATGAGGGACTATCCTAGACGGTGAAATATGATAATAGATTATATGCAAAGTAGGTGACGCTTGTGAGATGTCTAATCAAAAAAAGCAGCTGCTATACAAAAGAGTTAACTACAAGGGCCGGCCGAGTGGCTCAGTTGGTTAAGAGCTCACTCAAGAGTGCGAGCTCTGAGCAACAGGATCGCCGGTTCGATTCACGGCCCAAGCTGAGCTGCTGCTGAGCTGCCAACAGGTGGCAGGATGGCTCAGCTTTAAAAAAAAAAAAAAAAAGTTAACATACAGATGCTATCTGAAGTCAAAGAGGGGCTTGCCTAAAATAAGAGGAATCCCAACATTTAAAGATTTAAGGGTTCGGGCCGGCCGAGTGGCGTGATGGTTAAGAACTCGCTTGGGATGCCAGAGGGCCCCGGTTCGGATCCCACATGTGAGGGCCAGTGACACTGCCCTCTACAGCTGAGATGCTGAACGGCAGCTCAACCTGGAGCTGGGCTGCCGTGAGTCGCCTACGATGGCGTAGGCTGCAGCCCCTGTGGCAGTGGGTTGCCATGGGCTACCGTAGGTAGCCAGCAGCCAACGTGAGCGGCCAGCAGCCGCAGTGAGCGGCCGTCCAGAAGCCGGCGACTGATCTGCCTCACCAGGGAAGAGCGCAATGATGGTGCCAACTTGGGCCAGTGAAGCAACATCCTCCACAACTAGATTGAAGAACAAAAATGACAGCAACTTGTCTGTTCCCCTTCCCCCAATTCCCCACCACTGTTCCCATCCCCCCAATTCCCCAATAAAAATCTTTAAAAAAAAAGATTTAAGGGTTCATTAAAGGAAAAAGACTGCAATGGTTCTCAAACTTGATCATGCTTACTAATCATCTAGGGATTTTGTTAAAATGTGGAATCTGCTTTAGAATCAGAATGAGCCTGAAGCCAGGACTGAGATTTTGCATTTGTCACCAGCTCCCAGGTATGGCCAAGGCTGCTGGTTGAGGCCCACACCAAGTAGCACAAGTCTAAAGAGCTGAGAAGAAAAGCAAAGGCGGGAGAAAACCGGGAGAGGGCAGTAGCTCAGAAGTCAAGGAAGATGGGGGTTTAAGAAGATATTAAAAAAACTCACATGTGCATCAATATTAGAACCAACTATGCTTTATTATATTCTTATAGGGAACTTGTATTATCTCTGTAATCAGAAAAAAATAAGAAAAAAGGCAGTAAGAAGACATGCTTAAATATGCAACAAGGAATACAGTACCCGTGAACCCTTAAGAAAATTAATGAAAAACAAAAATCACGTGATGAATCAAAATAAGTAGTTTAGCAATGGTGATCCTGTTGTAAAAGGATTCAAGTTACCCAACAATGACTCCATTTAAACACAGAACCAAGACTACACTGTATGCATTATAATTACAAATTAGAATGTAAATATTATAAACCTTAGCAAAGTGTAAATAATTATAAAATAATAAAAAATCATATGGTAAGGTAGTAAAAAAATGGCACAGTCAACCATGTGGAATCTGCTAAGAGGCCAAGTCAGATTAGGCTACGGGTTGGCAAATATACAAGTTATAATGAATCTGACACAGATCTTACACCTTCACAAAATTACCTCAAAACGGATCACAGACCTAAATGTAAAATATAAAACTCCTAGAAGATAATACAGGACAAAATCTAGATGACCGTGGGTTTGGCAATGACTTCTAGAAACAACACCAAAGACATAAGCCAGGAAAGAAATAATCGATAAGTTGGAGTTGATTGAAATTAAAATTTTCTGATTTGCAAAAGACACTGTCAAGACAATGAGAAGACAAACCAGACTGGGAGAAAATATTTGCAAATAACAAATCTGACAAAGGACTATTATTCAAAATATACAAAAACTCTTCAAACTCAACAATAAGAAAACAACCAGATTAAAAAATGGGCCAAAGACCTTACCAGACACCTCACCAAAGATCTTCAGCCGGTGAGGGAGCAGACAAAAGCATGCTACACATCATGTCACCAGGGATGTGCGAGTGAAAACGAGACACCACTGCACACCTGTCAGAACAGCCCGGATCCAGAGCACTGACCACACCAGACGCCGGAGAGGACGCAGAGCAACCGGAGCCTCGTCCATCGCTGGTGGGAATGCAAATGGCGCAGCCACTTTGGAAGACAGTTGGGCGGTTTCTTACAAAACTAACATACCCTCACCAAAGGATCCAGCAATCACCCTCCTCGGTAGTTACCCAAACGAGCTGAAAACGTTACGGCCACACAAGAACCTGCACACAGCAGCTTTATGCATAATTGCCTAAACTCAGAAGCAACCAAGATGTCCTTCAGTGGGTGAGTGACTAAACTGGTTCATCCAGACAATGGACTATTATACAGCGCTAAAAAGAATTGATCAAACCATGAAAAGACATGGAGGAACCTTATATTACTAGGTCAAAGAAGCCAATAAGAAAAGGATACATACATATTTCCAATTACATGACATTTGAGAAAAGGAAAACTATGGAGATAGTAGAAAGATTAGTGTTTGCCAGAGGTTGGGGAGAAGGATGAATGGGTAGATCACAGAGGATTTTTAAGGCGGTGAAATTGTTCTGTATACTGTAATGGTGGACATTTATTATCACACATTCATCAAAACTGATGCGACACCTAGAGTGAACCATTAATGCAAATCATGAACTTTGAGTGATAACAATGTGTCACTGTAGGTACATCAATTGTAACAAATATACCACTCTGGTGAGAAATACACTGATAATGGAGAAGGCTATGAATGGGGCACCTGGGGCACCGTAAATACAGGAGATCTCTGTACCTTGCTTGTTGACATTTTTTGTATCAAAATGATAAAATCTGATAGTCTGAGATCGTCATTAAACCATTAGACATTAAATCAAAGCAAAGTATCAAGAAGAGAGGTAAGAGCAGAGAAATAGTAAAAGAAGGAAGAGGGTCAAATAGGCTTTCTCAACAATTTTATTTCATAGCACACATTGCTAAATAATACTTTTAGTAACATACTTCAAATTACTGAAAACTATCTCTGTCAAGATTATAAGACAATTACGACTGCAATGTAACCACATCTCACAGTGTCTAGACAAAAGCATCCAAATACTAGCAACTTATTATTTGTGTCCAGGTTTGAATACAACTGTTTACTACCCCAATTATGTTTTATATTCTCTAAGGATGTAGAATTATCACACATTCCAGTACATGTTAGCGCTTTTGCTCCATCTGGGCATTAAGCTATGCTTTTTAAACCTTTCTCATAAATTATATTGTGCCTAGTTCTACACTGTAATGTACAACCTATCAACTCCACATTCCATCTGACAAGTATGGTAGGTAGACAGGTAGACACACAGACACACAGACACATTCAGAACAAAAAATTTTACAGATCAGAATCAGGAGTAACCTATGAAGACGTGGTGCGACAATAAACAGAAGAGAGTACATTGCTTGGGAGACAGAAATCAAAGTAACGAGGTGAAAAAGTTACATAAAAAAGTCTTACTACTTTATGACTGATGGCTCTTTACTAGTGAAACAGAAAAATGAAATTTATGGGAAATAGATGCCATATTAAAAATTTCACAGAGCCTCATTCAAATTAAACTATATTCCACTGAAATAGTTATAATCTGGGGCCAGCTGAATGGCTCAGTTGGTTAAGAGCTTGCTCAAGAGCGTGAGCTCTGAGCAACAGGGTCACCGGTTCAATTCCCACATGGGCCAGTGACGCTGTGCCCTGCCAGGGAGCTGCCAACAGGTGGCAAGATGGCTCAGCTGGTGAGAGCATGTGCTCCTAACAGCAAGGCTGCTGGTTTGCACCCACAACTAAAGACTGAACTCAGCACCTTGAGCTGAGCTGCCACCCGGGTGGCTCAGAATAGACCACACGTTCTTACAACGAGGCTGCCAGTTTGACTCCCGCATGGGATGGTGGCTACGCCCACCCGCGCAACTAACTGAACACGGCACCTTGAGCTGAGCGGTGCGACTGGACTTGGAGCTGAGCTAGCTGTGCCCTCCACAACTAAAACTGAAGAACAACAACTTGGCTATTCTCCTTCCCCAATTCCCAACACTGTTCCCCTCCCCCAATTCCCCAATAAAATCTTTAAAAAAAGAAATAGTTATAATCTGTGTCTTCATAAACATTACATCTGAAACTCTAATGAAATCATTTTAGTTGTCTCAAAGGATATAACACATGAATT